TATATCTCACTGCCTTCAGGCTTTTGCAGCCTGGGGAGTCCCCCAGTGTTATAAGACTGATAATGGACCTGCCTATGCAGCCAAAGCATTTGATAAGTTTTGTTCTGAATTTGCAATTAAACACTCTACTGGCATCCCATATAATCCCACAGGCCAGGCTGTGGTAGAGCGTGCCCATGCAACTCTCAAAGCATTATTAATAAAACAAAAAGGGGGAGTAGGAGCCACCCTATATCCCAAAAGTCCTAAACATCAATTGGCTTTAGTTACTTATATTTTTAACTTTTTGATTCTGGATTTGGATGGCCATTCTGCTGCCGAACGCCACACTGTTGGCGCAGGCCCCTGCAAAGATTGGGTGATGTGGAAGGATGTTTTAACAAAACAATGGATGGGCCCGCATCCTGTCTTACGACGGACGCGAGGAGCGGTTTGTGTTTTTCCACAGGATTCTGATGGACCGGTGTGGGTGCCAGAACGTTTGACGCGAGTGATAAGAAAGCCGGAGCAAGATGAACCTGTGGACGTGGTGGATGCTGACCAGCCTGATGTTCATTCAGATACCGAGACGAGACAGCCAGAATCTCCAGCTAAAACTGCACCATAAAAGGGGTGCAGCAAATATTGACTCGCTGTCTAGGGCCTTGGAAATGGCCCCCAGAATGGACTGCTGTCAAAGTACTGTGACTCCTAGAAGAGTAGCACCTGATCTTGCTGTGACCAATTTATTTCCTACCTGATCAAATTGTGCCTTTGTGGGGTATAACTAAACATATGGTAACCCTGTTCAATCTGTTTCTGCTCAGTCTTGGAATGTCTGGGTACTTTGCACTAATAGGGGTGGGTGTTCAGATATATCAGCTTTTGCATTTATTGATAAGGTAGTGATAAGAAATTGTAATTATAGTAGTAATAGTTCTAGAATATGGGAAGAAAATGTTAAAGTTAATTGCAGTTGTTATGTTATCTATAATGCTATTTATGTATGTGTACAAGCTCCATTTATGTTTATTGTTTCCATGAGTGCTAATGTTACCCTTTTGAATTGCTCTGTAGTTAAGTGAGCCCTTAACCAGTGTTGGAATGGCTCTGGCACTGCGGTGCTGGTATGCATTCCACAACTTATTTCCATCATATGGGGACCTCCTGTGTGCTTAGTCTACCTGGAATGTGTGTCACTCCCTCTATTGTCACCAATGGTTCCTGAGTATTGAATTTGTCCAGAGAGTTATCCGCTATGCTATCCCCTAGTGGAAGCTGGTCCATACGATTCGATAATTTGACATAGGAACTAAGATCCCAAATTATAGCCATAAATAGCATAAAAGTAGAGATTGCCACAGTAAAGCAATGGACAAATTGCATACTAAAGGATCTTTCCTTTGCACACCAATGGGCTGGTATAGTAGCCCTGGGCCTTATATCATTCTTTGGGGTCTGTGGATGCTTCATCCTTGAGCACAGCGTCAGCAGCAGTAACAGCAGCTGCTAGTGCAAGCTGTGCTTGCCCTTCACAACAGATAATCCCTAAAAGTCTGGCTAGGCATGCTGGACCGGTAGCCAGAGACGGGTAAGTATCCGATATGGCTTCACCAACCTAAGACAGGTGCCACGTTCCTAGCCACGTGGTTAGCCCATGATGGGTAAGGGGAGCCTGAACTCGGAACACCTAAGACAGGCACGGTCCCTTGCTTAATAAAACAAGAAGGGGGAGCTGTTGGGGGCACTGACCATTTCCTGCCCTGTGATTGGCCCTTTGCCCTGATTGGTGTGCCTTGGTCATCTTTAAGTTGATTGGTCAAGTTTGACAGTTAAGCGGGGGTGCTTGGCGGGGGAGGGGCTGGAGCGTAACGGTCATAACGGACACAACGGAGTTAACGGACGGAACAGAAGATCAGAATAAAGGCGCCTTGGAGACTCTCTCAAGTGTCGGGTGATTTCTTCCGCGGGACGGGAGGACCCCCCGATAGGTGGCCAACAGGCATTACAAAGAATTTTGTAACAAAGCTGAGGACCTCTCAGAGCAATCAAGCGCGGTGGCGCAAGTGGTTAAGGTCCTCGCCTTGCATGCCCGGGATCCCATATGGGCGCCGATTCTAATCCCAGCAGCCCCGCTTCCCTTCCAGCTCCTTGCCTGTGGCCTGGGAAAGCAGTCAAGGACGGCCCAAAGCTTTGGGACCCTGCACCCATGTGGGAGACCCGGAAGAGGCTCCTGGCTTCGGATTGGCATAGCATCGACCGTTGCCGCAAGGCTCACAATCATCGGATGGAAGATCTTCCTCTTTGTCTCTCCTCTCTGTATATCTGCCTTTTCAATGGAAAAATAATAAAAATAAAAATCTTCAAGAGCACTTGAATGACACCCTTTGAACAATCGTCCTCACCTAGGGGCCTCAGGACCGGACTGTCTCTGTCCTTGATGATCTGTCCCCAACCATCTGTGTCTCTCAGCGCTGATACAGTGTGACAGCAAGGAGTGGACCCCCCCCCCCGCCCCTGACTCCTATGGATACAAGATGGAAAACTGAAACATTGATTTCACTCACCTTATCCTAATTGGACTAGAAATCCCATCATAGGCTTTTGTAAAAAAAAAAAAAATACTAAAAATTTAAAAAGGAGCCTGGAGCAATTGCTCAATTGGCTAAATCCTCCCCCTTGCTGGTGCGATGATCCCACACAGCAATGGGTTTGTGTCCCAGCTGCTCCACTTCCCATCTAGCTGCCTGTCTGTGGCCTGGAAAAGCAGTGGAGGACGGCCTGAGTCACTGGGAACCTGCATCTGCATGGGAGGCCCCGGGGGAAACTTTGGATCAGCCCAGCTCTGGACCTTGCAGCCATTTGGGAAATGCACCAGCAGATGGAAGATCCTTCTGTCTCTCCTCTCTGTAAATCTGCCTTCCCAATAAAAATAAATAAATCTTTTTTTTTTAAGATTTACTTTTTTTTATTATTATTTTCTTTTTGGAAAGGTGGATATACAGAAAGGAGAGACAGAGAGGAAGATCTTCTGTCCGATCATTCATTCCCCAAGTGAGCGCAATGGCCGATGCCATGCTGATCCGAAGCCAGGAGCCTCTTCCGGGTCTCCCACGCGGGTGCAGGGTCCCAAAGCTTTGGGCCGTCCTCGACTGCCTTCCCAGGCCACAGGCAGGGAGCTGGAAGGGAAGTGGAGCTGCCGGGATTAGAACTGGCGCCCATATGGGATCCCGGGCGTGCAAGGCGAGGACTTAACCACTTGCGCCACCGCGCCGGGCCCTAAAATCAATTTTTTTTTTAAAAGAAGAAATTAACTTGAGGATCTGTTACAGAAAAGGGAGAGTATAAGCCCAGGTTGGATCTGGTAGATAGACTGACTACAAATATGCAAATTCAAGTTTGAGGACAGCAACAGGCTTAGCAAGTTAACAATCTAGGCTGGAGTAAGAGAGAGGCAGTTTTCTATACGCAGTGTGCATCACACTCCTGAGTAATAATAGGATTTCCATTTTTATTTTAGCTTATTTCTGTTATTTTTTTTTCTACTTGTTATCTCATGATACCTTTATGTATCACAAAGTAGGTTACTTTCTTAGTTACTTGGTGACTTAGTTATTTTGAAGCAACAGAGCTATTGCAACAACCTGACAAAAAATGAGCGATAGGCAGTATGTGGAGGGAAGAGATGTACTTCTACATTTGTATGGTAAAAAATGTATAATCTGGGCCCAGCGCCGTGGCCTAGTGGCTGAAGTCCTCATCTTGAATGTGCCAGGATCCCATATGGGTGCCGGTTCTAATCCCGGCTACTTCACTTCCTTTCACAGCTCCCTGCCTGTGGCCTGAGAAAGCAGTGGAGGACGGCCCAAAGCCTTGGGATCCTGCACCCGCGTGGGAGACCTGGAGGAGGTTCCTGGCTCCTGGCTTCGGATCGCTCAGCACCAGCTGTTGCGTTCATTGGGAAGTGAATCAGTGAATGGAACATCTGTCTCTCCTCCTCTCTGAATATCTGACTTGCAATAAAAAACAAACATATAATCTACCAATTTTATATGAATTTTTAAAAGTTTTTCTTTTCTTTATTTATTTTTTATTACAAAGTCAGATCTGGAAGAAGTCCCTGGTTCTTTGTTACTGAGCAAACCAATGAATAAGAAGATGTTTGTTTCATTGAACAAATTGTACAAGCTGAGGGAGAATATTGAGTGCACACTGCTGTGGTGTAGCATGATAAGCTGCCACTTGTGATGCCGGCATCCCCAAAGGGCGCTGGTTTGTATCCGGCTCCTTCACTTCTGCTTCAACTCCATGCTAATGCACCTGGGAAAGTGGCGCAAGATGGGCCACGTACTTGGGGCCCATTAGCCATGTGGGAGACCAGATGAGCCTCCTGGCTTTAGCTAGGCCTCCTCATGGCCATTTAGGGGGGAAGCCAGAGGACAGAGGTTCGCGCTCTCTCTTTTCCTTTCTCTTTGCAACTCAGACTCGCAAATAATAAATGAACCTTTCGAAAAATGGCATTAAATAACAGGAAAGTGAAGCCGAGTAGATTCTGTGCTTATGCCATATATATTTTGTAAAGATTTATTTTTATTGGAAAGTCAGATATATGGAGAGGAGGAGAGACAGAGAGAAAGATTCACTCCACAAGTGGCCGCAATGGCCTGAGCTGAGTCGATCAGAACCAGGAGCCAGGAACCTCCTCCAGGTCTCCCACGCGGGTGCAGGGTCCCAAGGCTCTGGGCTGTCCTTGACTGGATTTTCCAGACCACAAACAGGGAGCCGGACGGGAAGTGGAGCAGCTGGGATATGAACCGGTACCCATATGCGATCCAGGCATGTGCAAGGTGAAGACTTTAGCTGTTAGGCTACCATACCGGGCCCCATAATTTTTGATGATTCTAATTGTTGCACTGAGAGGATGCATCTCTTAGTCAAGGTAGAAAAAGAAATGGTTAAGAAGTGTCAAGGAAAAGAAATGACCCCCTCCCCGCCAGGCCTCTTCCTCACGTTCCCCTTACTTTTCTCTTCAGCTGTGCGTCTTTTTTTGTCCCGAAATGCATTTTGATATCCCAACAGATACAAGTTGAAGAAGGCCATCTCAGCCCTTCCCTGAGCTCTTCTGGAATGTTGTGGCTGGAACACTGGGCTCTGTGTTTGGTCACCATGGCGTATCACTGAGGGGCACTGTGACTGGCATCGCCCCGGTCTGCTGTGGCACAGACTCACAGCACAGTACTGACATGTGAGACCTTCATTCTCCCAATAAGAAAGCATCTTTATTGGAAAGGCAGATATGCAGAGAGGAGGAGAGACAGAGAGGAAGATCTTCCGCAATGGCCAGAGCTGAGCTGATCTGAAGCGTGGAGCCAGGAGCTCTTCCGGATCTCCCACACTGGGGCAGGGTCCCAAGCCTTTGGGCCATCCGCGACTGCTTCCCCAGGCCACAAGCAGGGAATTGGACGGGAAGTGGAGCTGCTGGGATTAGAACCAACGCCCATATGGGATTCTGACATGTTTAAGGCGAGGACTTTAGCTGCTATTCTATTGTACCGGGCCCTTAAAAATATCTTTAAAAGATTAAAAATAAAATTTAGGAGTCTACATTGTGGTGCAGTGAGTAAAGCCACTGCTTGTGACTCCAGCAACAATATTGGAGCATTATTCATTGTTATTCAAAAGGCAGATTTTATATAGAGGGAAGGAGAGACAAAAAGAGGTCTTCCATCAGCTGGTTGACTCCCCAGATGGCTGCAACAGCTAGAGTTTAGCTAATCTGAAGCCAGGAGTCAGGAGCTTCTTCCGGGTCTCCCACACGAGTGCAGGGTCCCAAGGCCCCAGGCCGTCCTCGACTGCTTTCCCAGGCCACAAGCAGGGAGCAGGAGGGGAAGTGGAGCATCCCAACGTCTGCAAGATGAGGATCCAGCCACTGAGCGAGCCATCACATCAGATCCCCAAATAAATGAATCATAGCAAAGAATATACAGGGCTTGGCATGGTGGCCTAGTGGCTAAGTCTTCACCTTGAACATGCTCAGACCCCATATGGGTTCCGGTTCTAATCCCAGTGGCCCTGCTTCCCATCCAATTCCCTGCTTGTGGTCTGGGAAGGCAGTCTCAGATGGCCCAAAGCCTTGGGATCCTTCACCCGTGTTGGAGACCTGGAAGATGTTCCTGGCTCCTGGTTTTGGATCAGCTCAGCTCTAGCCATTGTGGCCACTTAGGGAGTGAATCAATGGATGGAAGATCTTCCTCTCTGTCTCTCCTCCTCTCTGTATATCCCACTTCCCAATAAAAATAAATACTTGGGCCCGGTGGCGTGACCTAGCTCCCTAAGTCCTCGCCTTGAACATACCAGGATCCCATATGGACACCGATTCTAATCCCGGCAGCTCCACTTCCCATCCAGCTCCCTGCTTGTGGCCTGGGAAAGCAGTCTAGGATGACCCAAAGGCTTGGGACCTTGCCCCAGTGTGGGAGATCCGGAAGAGCTCCTGGCTCCTGGCTTCAGATCAGCTCAGTACCGGCCATTGCGCTCACTTGGGGAGTGAATCATCAGAGGGAAGATCCTCCTCTCTGTCTCTCTACCTCTCTGTATATTTGACTTTGTAATAAAAATAAATAAATCTTAAAAAAAATTATAAATTTTCTACCACCTAAGAAATCGGTTTCGCTGCTTGCTCTTTTTCTGTTGTACTTTTCTGTCTCTTTAAGTTGTGTAAAATGCAGGTTTGGGGGCTGAAAGTTAGCTTGTCTGCTGCTTGCTATGGCTAAAGGTATCCGAGGCTAACGTTCCTGTTGGCCTTGTTTTTGCCTGCTCTGCTCTTTCTGAATTTCCTCTTGCCAGTTTTTTCAGTAGTGGCCTGTTCCATCCCTAGCTGCCCCTGTCGTCATATGGGAGCCTGATACACGTGGTGCCAAGGCTGGAGGGTGGGGTGGCATGAAGAAGCATTCTGCTCACTCTGTTCTTAGGCCTCAATCTTTTACTGAGCTTCATTATCTTTATTATTATTTTTTTTAAGAAAGATACATAAAGAGAGGAAGATGTTCCATCCGCTGATTTACTTACTCCCCAAGCGACTGCAACAGCCAGAGCTGAGCTGATCCAAATCCAGGAGCCAGGAGCTTCTTCTGGGTGTCCCACATGGGTGCAGGATCACAAGGCTTTGGGCCATCCTCGACTGCTTTACCAGCACACAATAGAACCAGCGCCCATAAGGGATCCCGGCGTGTGCAAGGTGTGCACTTTAGCCACTAGGCCACTGCACTGGGCCCCTGCACTGGGCCCTCTTATTGAGCTTTCATGCGCGACCTCTGACCTTCACAATGGTCTCATCCCCCACCTATCTTGGGTGGGAGATGAGGCTATGGCTGGGAGTTTCCCTTCCTCCACATTGGTGAGGAAGAGAGAAGGAGTTTGTTAAGAACAATGTTCTGGGTTTATTTCAACATTGCTACTTTCTTTCTACCCCTGCTGGAAGCTTGTGGGATCCGTGGTGGTAAAAGTCACAAAAATGTGGGGGCCCATTAAGGCCGAGCTCTGATACATTGATTCAGTCTTGCAAGCAGGTCCAGTGCTCTGTGAGTATTCATACCAGTTGCTGGTACCAGTTGCTTTGTTGCCAGCAAGCCATGATGTTCAGTTCCATCTGTTGTTCTGACCTCTTCCAGTTGTGGGGCATGAATGTTTTCCCTATGCCTTCCATGCTCTGATGGGTCTTAAAAAGGTCGTTCTACATTCTTTTTAAAGATTCATTTATTCAAGGCCCCAGCTGCCATGGCGCAGCAGCTGGTTCCTCACTTTGCAAGCACCGGGATCCCATATGGACACTGTTTCATGTTCTAGTTGCTCCACTTCTCATCCAGCTCCCTGCCTGTGGCCTGGGAAAGCAGTGGAGAATGTCCCAAAGCCTTGGGACGCTGCAAATGCATGGGAGACCTGGAGGAAGCTCCTGGCTCCTGGCTTTGGATTGGCTCAGCTCTGGCTGTTGTGGCCACTTGGGGAGTGAACCAGTGGACAAAAGATGGTTCTGTCTCTCCTTTTCTGCATAAATCTGATCTGCATTTTTAATAAAAATAAATCTTTTTTTTCTTCTATTTTATTTTGAATTTTATGGTACAATTCCATAGGATCTGGGAAAAATAAATCTTAAAAGAAAATGATTCATGGGCCCGGTGGCGTGGCCTAGTGGCTAAGGTCCTTGCCTTGAACGTGGCGGGATCCCATATGGGCGCCGGTTCTAATCCCGGCAGCTCCACTTCCCATCAAGCTCCCTGCTTGTGGCCTGGGAAAGCAGTTGAGGACAGCCCAAAGCCTTGGGACCCTACACCCGTGTGGGAGACCCGGAAGAAGCTCCTGGCTCCTGGCTTTGGATCGGCATAGCATGGGCCGTTGCGCTCACTTGGGGAGTGAATCATCGGACAGAAGATCTTCCTCTCTGTCCCTCCTCCTCTCTGTATATCTGACTTTCCAGTAAATAAATAAAAATCTTAAAAAAGAAAAGAAAATGATTCATTTATTCAAAAGGCAAAGTTAGAGAGAGGGAGGGACAGACATATCGTCTGTCCACTCTTTCCTCCCCAAATGGTTACCATGGCTGAGATTTGCCATGCTGAAGCCAGGAGCCTGGAGCTCTTAGTCTCCTATGTAAATGGCAGAGACCTAAGCATTTGCAGCATCTTTCATTGCTTTCCCAGGGAAACTGTCAGGGAGCTGGATTGGAAGAGGAGCAGCTACGACTTGAACTGTTGCCTGCAAGGGATGCTGGCATTGCGGGTGGCAGTTTAATGTGCTCCAGCATAATGCTGGCCCAGAGAAATGGTGTTCTATTTTAACTTGTTTAACTCTTTTTTTTTTTTTTAAGATTTATTTATTGGAAAGTCAGATACACAGAGAGGAGGAGAGACAGAGAGGAAGATCTTCCATCCGATGATTCACTCTCCAAGTGAGCGCAACGGCCGATGCTATGCCGATCCGAAGCCAGGAGCCAGGAGCCTCTTCCTGATCTCCCACACGGGTGCAGGGTCCCAAGGCTTTGGGCCGTCCTCGACTGCTTTCCCAGGCTACAAGCAGGGAGCTGGATGGGAAGTGGAGCTGCTGGTATTAGAACCAGCGCCCCTATGGGATCCCGGTGCGTTCAAAGAGAGGACTTTAGCCGCTAGGCCACGCCACCGGGCCCTTAACTCTTTTCTTGTTAGAATGGGAGTGAAGACTTCCATGTGCTTTACATGTCAGAGTGGACACCAGAAGCTGTGGTCTGCCATATCTCTCTGTAGGAAACAGCATGTGATAGCATGCATAGCACTTCCTCATTTCATAGGCTGGTAGCCTGAAATTAGCCATAGGGGGGAAATGTTACCAAGCAAGCTTGATTTACTTTGTTAACTGTCTCGATTTAAGAAAGTGACAGGTGGCCACACTGTGGTGCAGTAGATCACAAACCCTTGTGAAGTCTCTGCCTTTAACCCAGGCATCCCTTACTGGAGGAGCTATTCAAGCCCCAGCTGCTCCACTTCTAATCCAGCTCCCTGCTCATGCGCCCGCGAAGCAGCAGAGGATGGCCCAAGTCCTTGGGATCTCTTCCCCACCTGGGATGCCCGGATGGAGTTCCAGCCTCCTGGCTTCGGCGGATCCTTCTTGGCTACTTATGAAGCAAACCAGCAAATAGAAGATTTCTTCTTCCACGCTTCCCATTCTTTATCTGCTTTCAAATAAAGTAACATCTTTTTTTTTTTAAAGTGATACAGAAAATGTTAATAAGGAAGCTTAAAAGTGTATGAGAGGATGGGCATAGAGCCCAGCAGTTAGGACACCAGTTAAGCAGTCTCATGTTCCTTAGTGTAGTCCTTGGCATCAATATCCAGCTCTGCTTCTAATTCCAGCTTCTTGCTGATATGAATGGCGAGACGCTCAGCGATGGTCCAAGTGACTGGGTTGCTGAATCCTCATGGAACACTTGAAATTGCACTCCTGGATCCTATTGTGAGAGCTTGTTTGGAGGTTCTAGCAGGGGAGCACAGCTACTCATATAGCCTTGATCGAAGACCGGTCCTCCTCTAGCGGGGATGGTCGTCCTCTTCGATGGAGCGCGCAGCTTCGGGAGGGACGCACATGGAGTGGTGAGGGAGGAAGGGGACACCCGCCTAGCCAGCC